ATGTGCATGAGAGTCTAGGTAGACATAATAACCCTGTACCTAGTGTGAGAACCAAGGTTATTGAAATAAGAGATGATAAGAATTGGCGGGCTGGAGAGCAGGAAGGGAAGCCCTGGCTTTTAAACTAATTGGGGAATGTGATTTATGGCGGTTAACTGGAGGAGGGAATTGTGCTTTGATACTATGTGCTCAGGGGAGGGGAATTCAGTTTTTGGCTTCGATTATGTTAGTGCTGATGCTAGGCAACTTAAATAAAGATTCTTTAAGGTAAACAATGCCTCGAAGTTCTTTGAAGAGTTTCATCTGTCGGAACCATGACAACATCACAGCAGTGAACAGGTATAAGATGCGATGACATTTAAATGTTTGGCCTGCTCAGTGACCTGGTATGACTGCAATTTTGGCAAATACACCACAAAGAGTCTGGATCTAGCGATGTGGAAATCTAAACAGCTAGATTTTTAAACAAAGGTTAATAAAACAAAGGAGATCATTGTTGATTTTAGAAAGAGCCAGCATAGCCATACTCCGCTTTACATCAAAGCTGCAGCTGTGGAGGTGGTCGACGGTATTAAAGCATCTGCAGGGTGCAGATAACTAACAATCTGACTTGGTTTCTTCATACGTCACCTTTAGCGTTTGCATTTCTTGCGTCGGATGAGGAGAGCACATCTTTCTCCTTCTGTCCTGGCCACTTTTTACAGAGGCATGATTGTCTTAACAAACTGCATCACTGTCTGGTTTGGTGGTAGCAGAGCCTCAGATAGAAGCTCCATGCAGAGAGTGGCAAGGACAGCCGAAAGGATTATAGGAAGCTTGCTTCCTGTGATCCAGGATGCTGCTTACAAGTGCTTAGAGCGCAGAGCATTGTTAGAGACCCCATGCACCCACTTCAGGGCCTGTTTCCATTGCTCCCCTCTGGGAGGAGGTTTTGAAGTATTTATAGCAAAACTACTAGATTTTGTAACAGCTTTGTTCTTTACGTCATCCATCTGGTAAATTTGCAGGATCCTTTTTTCCCCCCCACCATGTATACGTGTACATTCAAACTAGACTGTGATGTTTCTTTGTGTCATATGTGTGTGCAGGACGAGAAGCAATGGATGGAAACTGATCAAGGAGAGAAGCAACTTAGAACTAAGGAGAAACTTCCTGACAGTTAGAACAATTAACCAGTGGAACAACCTGCCTCCAGAAGCAGTGAATGCTCCAGCACTGGAAGTTTTTAAGAAGAGACTGGACAGCCATTTGTCTGAAATGGTGTAGGGTTCCTGCCTGAGCAGGGGGTTGGACTCGATGATCTCCAAGGTCCCTTCCAACTTTATTATTATTATTATTATTATTATTATTATTATTATTATTATTATTATTATTATTANTATTATTACATGCATGTTTTTTTTGAAAGCTGAATGCAACGAAATTTCATTTTAATGTATCCTAATTAGTATACATTTAAAGTGATAATGAGGTTTCTATTCTATTCTATTCCATTTTCATTATTCTATTCTATTCTAATTCTATTCTTTCCTATGCTATTCCACCCTTTCATTATTCTATTCTATCCTATTCCATTCTAATTTTATTCTATTTTAATTCATTATTCTATTCTAATTCTATTCTTTCCTATTCTATTCCATTCTTTCATTATTCTATTCTATTCTATTTTCTATTCTATTCCATTCTAATTCTATTCATTCTAATTCTAATCCATAATTCTAAATGCTCTTAAGCTCAAAACAAATTTGGTGCGATGTGTGAAATATTAATTGCAATTTAGCAGCCTTTTAATAGTCTCCTGTTCAAGTACCAATCAAATCACACCTTACTGCCTGCTCTTCTGAGGCTATTCTATCCAAAGAAGCAGATGGATTTTTATTCTAAGAGGACCACAACCTTTATTTTGCTATTATTCGATCATAGTACTAACCATTACCAAAAGAGACCATTTGCTTAAATGGCTTTTAAAAAAGCACAAGAACTCCAGGAGTCAGGGAGCAAATCTATGAATGGCTATTACCGGTGATAAATATTTTAATCCGCTACATCTTTATGGCTCCTGATCTCCGATACAGCTTCAAAGATGATGACAGGGATAATATTAATCAGGGACAAAAAGTCCTTTTTTATAAGGCTTTTGCAGGACCTTAAAAGATTTAAGCTATTTTGAGACGCCAAATTTAGCCTGCCGTGAAACTTAGAAAATTAAAATGGTTTTTGCTGCGGCGAGCAACCAGCACTCTCCTTTTGACGTCCTAATATTTCAAGGGTGAGTTACTCCTAGGGCGCAGAGAATGATAGACAATGCATTAAAAAATGAAAGATTGAACGATAGGGATGGGGGGGGGGAATCAGGAGCCTCCAAGTTCAGGGGCAGTCTACCAAGTAGCAAGGGAGCGATAGCAAGGGACGAATAAGGGTCAATAGGCAATCAATCTGATCCCCAAAACCTTTTCTGAACATTTTTAGGCGATGCTTACATGTTTTAGCGACTCCTTCAATTGTCAGCACTTCCCTTCCAAGTCTTTGCAATGGTGAGGAAGGTTAGTTTTATTGCTGTGAGCTACTTTAAAAAGCGGCGTATTGGTAGTCCTCCAGTTACGACCATTTCCTTGGTGACCGTTCAAAGTTATAATGCCCCCCCCAAAGATACTTACAGGTAGTCCTCTACATTTAGGCAAGAAAAACCAAATGCACAGGTATAGTATAGTTGGTACCTTGCTCAATAGTAGCAACTGTGAGAGTTGATCTCAGAGTCCTAGTGGACAATCCCTTAAATAGGAGCCAGCCATGTGCTGCAGCTGCCAAAGAAGCCAACACAGTGCTGGGCTGCATTAACAGAGGGAGAGAATCAAGATCACGTGAAGTATTAATACCACTTTACAAGGCCTTGGTAAGGCCACACTTGGAATACGGCATCCAGTTTTGGTCATCACGATGTAAAGATGTTGAGACTCTAGAAAGAGTGCAGAGAAGAGCAACAAAGATGATTAGGGGACTGGAGGCTAAAGCATATAAGGAACGGTTGCTGGAATTAGGTATGTCTAGTTTAATGAAGAGAAGGACGAGGGGGGACAGGATAGCAGTCTTCCAGTATCTCAGGGGCTGCCCCAAAGAAGAGGGAGTCAAGCTGTTCTCCAAAGCGCCTGAAGGCAGGACAAGGAGCAATGGAGGAAACTAATCAAGGAGAGAAGCAACCTAGAACTAAGGAGAAACTTCCTGACAGTGAGGACAATTAACCAGTGGAACAACCTGCCACCAGAAGCGGTGAATGCCCCAACGCTGGAGGTTTTTAAGAAGAGACTGGACAGCCATTTGTCTGAAATGGTATAGGGTTTCTTACCTGAGCAGGGGGTGGGACTAGATGACCTCCAAGGTCCCTTCCAACTTTATTATTATTAGTATTAGTATTTACAACCACAATTGGGCCCAAAATGTCTGTTGCTGAGCGAGACAGTTGTTAAGTGAATTCTGCCCCATTTTACAACCTTTCTCACCATAGTTGCTAAGCGAATCACTGCTGTGGTTAAGATAGTAATACAGTTTAAGTGAATCTGGCTTCCCCATTGTTTGTTGGAATGTTGCAAACATGATCACATGACTCTGGGACACTGCAACCGTCCTAAGTACATGCCAGTTGCCAAGTGGCTGAATTTTGATCACGTGACCATGAGGGTGTGGCAACGGTGTGAAAAAAGACCATAAGCCACTTTTTTCAGTCTTCTTGTAACTACAAAGAGTGGTAAGAACAGCTGAGAAGATTATAGGAAGTTCACTTCCCGTGTTTCAGGATACTGCTTATAAGCGCTTATATGTGCTTAGAGCTCAAAGGATTGTTAGAGACCCACCCACCCACACATCATGGTCTGTTCCTGTTGCTCCCCTCTGGGAGGAGGTTTCGAAGTATTTATAGCAGGACTACTAGATTCTGCAACAGCTTTGCTCCTTATGCCATCTGTCTTGTAAATTGGCAGGATTCTTTTCCCCCCGCCATGTATATATATGTATACATTCGAACTAGACTATGATGTTTCTCTGTGTCATACATGTGTATGTGTATGTGGGCATATGCATAATGGCATTTTTTTTGAAAGCTGAATGCAATGAAATTTCTTTCATTTTAATGTATGCTGATTAGTGTACATTTAGAGTGACAATTAAGTTTTTGTTCTATTCTATATTCTATTTTATTTTTATTCTATTCTATTCTTATTCTAATCTTATTCTATTGTGTTCTGTTCTATTCTATTCATTCTGTTCTTTCATCATTCTATTCTATTCTATTCTGCATTCTCTTGTCTTCCCTTCCATTTATTCTGCATTCTTCTCTTCCATTCCATTCCACTCCATTCTATTCCATATTTTCTATTCTATTCTATTCTATTCCATTCCATTCCATTCTGCATTCTCTTCTATTCTGCATTCTTCTCTTCCATTCCACTCCATTCCATTCCATATTTTCTATTCTATTCTATTCTATTCTATTCTATTCTTCTACTCTACTCTATTCTATACTATTGTATTCACAGTCACTAAATGAATGGTTGTAAGTTGAGGATCACTTGTAGAATACAACTTTCCTCCTTACAGCCATAATGCAAGAGAACCCACTGGATGGGAGAGGAACAGGGTTATCCCAAAACAGCAAGCAACAATTAACAATTAACCAGTTGAACAACCTGCCTCCAGAAGCGGTGAATGCGCCAACACTGGAAGTTTTTAAGAAGAGACTGGACAGCCATTTGTCCGAAATGGTATAGGGTTTCCTGCCTGAGCAGGGGGTTGGACTAGATGACCTCCAAGGTCCCTTCCAACTTTATCATTATTATTATTATCCATGCTTAACCATCATGCACCTTGACAACAGAGTTGCTCGCCCTGGGGCGTTAAGTGAGAACTACCTGTATTTTTAATTTCTGTATCGCTGCTAATACGTTTTGATTTAAAAACCGGAGATGTGACTTAAAAGGATATAATTAAAGAAATATTATCTGCAAAAAAAACAACAACCCCACATTGCAGCGTACAGTAATCCTATCCTAACTGCTGCAGATTTTCCGCCAGTCTCCATCCTTCTTTGGGCGACCTCCATTCCATCTTTGCTTCTTCATTTTTATCAAACGTTAAGTCAAAATTGTGGCTACCTTGTGCTATATCTTCAGTTCCTTCTTGAATTTTTTTCTGGTGGTTTTTCGGTCTTCCTGGATAATTCTCTCTCTCTCTCTTTTTTTTTAAAGTGATCTAAATATTTAAGTTCAGCCAAACCTGAACGAAACCTTCCTTTCGTTTGTCAAGAGTCCCAATTGTTCTGTACTCATCTCAGAGTTTGTTATTAGAGGGAATGAGATATTGATATCCATCTTATTGATGGGCGTCCAAAGCAAGGGAATGGTGGCTTGTTCCTGACCAGCATAGTTCATTACTTAAGGTGAAATGATCTGAAGGTCTTCCTGCTTGCGCTGTAGCATCCGTGTTGATATGAACATGGACGAAAATATTCAGTATAGTTTTCCAATATAAAAGGATGCTCTTTGCAAGTATTCTGCACACAATGGCCCCGATCTCAAACCCTCCAAATCTTCCCTAAAACAGGAGGAGGAGGAGACCAAAGTAAGGGTCAGAAAAGAATTTTAAAAAGTTGATCTTCAGTCCTTCCGCTATCGTCTCCATCTGTTGGAAAGAAAAGAAAAGAAAAAAAAGCTGAATAACTTTGGTCTTGAGGTCCACACATTTGAAAACTGCCAAGGTTGAGAAAAATTGGATTAGAGTAAAATGTAAAACTAGGTAATATCATCAATGCCAGAAGGGAGCGGAGTTTGGATCCTTCCATTCCCTACCATCCCAGTCAGAGCTGAAGAAGCTTCTTAGAGGAGAGGCGAAACATCTTCAGAGAAAAACAAGAAAGTCCAGTTGCCTCATGAAAAAGCAGCTTTGGGACAACCACAACCTGGAGGGCTGAGAATCTCCATAGACGTGAATAAAGAAAAAAAATAAAATGTGCATAAAATTACATGTGCAAACTCTACCAGATGTGGCAAGGCCTGGGACATCCTCCGCCTCTAGCGACATTTGAATTTGACTATCTTAATAAAACTCTGGTGCTGGAGAAGAGTCCTGCGAGTCCCCTGGACTGCAAGGCGACCAAACCGGTCAGTCCTAGAGGAGATCAACCCCGACTGCTCTTTAGAAGGCCAGATCCTGAAGTTGAAACTGAAGGACTTTGGCCACCTAATGAGAAGGAAGGACTCACTGGAGAAGAGCCCGATGCTGGGAAAGATGGAGGGCAAGAGAAGAAGGGGATGACAGAGAAGGAGGTGGCTGGATGGAGTCACTGAAGCAGTAGGCATGAGCTTAAATGGACTCCAGAAGATGGTAGAGGACAGGAAGGCCTGGAGGAACATTGCCCACGAGGTCGCGATGGGTCGGACACGACTTCCCAACTAACAACAAAACAACGCAGAGGAAGTGGGGGGGAGGGGGAAGCTTACATCCGGAGGCATTTGTCCTTCCCTCCACTTGCTACCCGTTGGCCATCGGGACTCCAGTCCACCGCAAACACCTGGGAAAGGAATATATCGCGAAAGCAGATCAACCCTTGCAATAAAGAAGCTGAAACAACTTTAAATTGAACCCCTGCCTCCCCATCCCCCAAAGAAGGGAGAAAACAGGAAATTTGTTTCTCGAAGACCTGATTAATGGAATTTCAAACCCATCTTGAGGACTAGAAAATTGATACCACTCAATCGCTGGTAATTTGCCATCCAGGAAAACAGCCTGTAAAAGAATGCTTGGTACAATACAACGCAGTCTACACACTCCTACCCCTCACTGGTTGGTCCCCAGATCAGTGTTTCTCAACATCAGCAACTTTAGCAACTTTTGAGTCTCAGAGTTTCCCAGCTGGCATGTTTTAAGATAGGTGGATTTCATCTCTCATAATTACCGAGCCAGCATACTTTAAGATGGATGGACTTTAACTCCCAGAATTCCCCAGCCAGCATGCTTTAAGAAAGGAGGACTTCAACTCCCAGAATCCCCCAGCCAGCATGCTTTAAGAGAGGTGGAGTTCCACTCCCAGAATCCCCCAGCCAGCATGATTTAAGATGGGAGGACTTCCACTCCCAGAATTCCCCAGGGAGCATGCTTTAAGAGGGACTTCAACTCCTAGAATTCCCCAGACAGCCTGCTTTAAGAGGGGTGGACTTCAACTCCCAGAATCCCCCAGCCAGCGTGCTTTAAAATGGGGGGACTTCCATTCCCAGAATTCCTCAATCAGCCTGCTTTAAGATGGGTGGACACCCCATATCTAAGGGTTATTTCTGGAAACTGAAGTCCATATACAGTATTTCAAAGTGGTTGAGTTGAGAAACACCGTTCTAGATCAGGGGGGTCTTCCAACTTGGCCCTTTTATGACTTGTAGACTTCAACTCCAAGAATTCCTCAGCCAGCAACGCTGGCTGAGGGATTCTGGGAGTTGAAGTCCACAAGTCATAAAAGGGCCAAGTCTGAAGACCCCTGTTCTAGATGATGAGGACAAACCCCATCCTTCTTCCAGCCAGCTTATGTCGTGGAAGGCACCCCAAGAGAATCCGAGATGGGGGAGACCCGCCATACCTCATCCGCGTGTCCAGGCAGGTCAACGGCCAACTTCTGCGTCTTGGTGTCCCACACTTTGAGGGTGCTGTCGCTGCTTCCGCTGACCAAGAGGCGGCTGTCGGCCGACCACGCAATCTGGTACACGGCTGAGACGTGTCCACGCAGGGAGGTGAGATACCTGCGGTCAGAAAAAGCCAGTTACGGTGGGGATTGCCTGCTCCCCTCATTTCCCCAAGTCTCCCCGTTTTTATTTTCTTATTGCAGGCAGTCCAAACTTACAACCATTTTTTTAGTGACCGGTTTGAACAGTTTTCAGTTAATTTTATGAATGAATTCATCTTAATTCAAATTCAAATTCATTCATTTTATGTGCAAACTCCCAGAATTCCCCAGCCAGCCTGCTTTAAGAGGGCTGGACTTCCACTCCCAGAATTCCCCAGCCAGCCTGCTTCAAGACGGCTGGACTTCCACTCCCAGAATTCCCTAGCAGCCTGCTTTAAGATGGGTGGACTTCCACTCCCAGAATTCCCTAGTCAGCAGGCTTCAAGAGGGCTGGACTTCCACTCCCAGAATTCCCTAGCCAGCAGGCTTCAAGAAGGGTGGACTTCAGTTCCCAGAATTCCCCAGCCAGCCTGCTTTAAGAGGGGTGGACTTCAACTCCCAGAATCCCCAGCCAGCCTGCTTTAAGAGGGGTGGACTTCCACTCCCAGAATCCCCCAGCCAGCCTGCTTTAAGAGGGGTGGACTTCAACTCCCAGAATCCCCAGCCAGCCTGCTTTAAGAGGGGTGGACTTCAACTCCCAGAATCCCCCGGCCAGCCTGCTTTAAGAGGGGTGGACTTCAACTCCCAGAATCCCCAGCCAGCCTGCTTCAACAGAGGTGGACTTCCACTCCCAGAATTCCCCAGCCGGCATGCTTTAAGATGGGTGGACTTCCATTCCCAGAATTCCCCAGCACCTTGCTGAGGAATTCTGGGAGTTGAAGTCCACAGGTCTTAAAATTGCCAAGCTTGGAGACCCCTGAACAAGAACATATCCTGAACACCAGGCGTCACTCCAGAAACGTCCTCCAGAAAACCACAGCATCCATCTCACTACATCTGGATCGAGGGGATCCAGAGGAAGGAAGGAAGGAAGATCTCCAGAACGTTCCAGAAGGAAGAAGAAAAAAAACCCCAACCTACTTCCCGGTCCGTCCATCCCACAGCTTGATTGACTTGTCGAAGGATGCGCTGGCAATGGTGCGGGTGTCGGGGGAGAAGAGGACCTGATTGATCAGCGCTTGATGGCCTGTCATTCTGGTCAAGGGCTTCTTATCTTCTGCCGGAAGCCAAAGGAACAAGGTGAAGTCATCTGATCCAGAGACCAGCCTTTCCGGTCCTTGGCCCTGGGGGAGAAAAGAGAGAGAGAAAAAAAAGGGGGTTATGAAATTGAAGGCAACTCTCCTAACAGCTACTTGGATCTTGGAGTCCTAGTGGACAATCCCTTAAACATGAGCCAGCCATGTGCTGCAGCTGCCAAAAAAGCCAACACAGTGCTGGGCTGCATTAACAGAGGGATAGAATCAAGATCATGTGAAGGGCTAATACCACTTTACAAGGCCTTGGTAAGGCCACACTTGGAATACGGCATCCAGTTTTGGTCACTACGATGTAAAAAAGATGTTGAGACTCTAGAAAGAGTACAGAGAAGAGCAACAAAGATGATTAGGGGACTGGAGGCTAAAACATATAAGGAACGGTTGCTGGAATTGGGAATGTCTAGTTTAACGAAGAGAAGGACGAGGGGGGACACGATAGCAATCTTCCAATATCTCAGGGGCTGCCCCAAAGAAGAGGGAGTCAAGCTATTCTCCAAAGCGCCTGAAGGCAGGACAAGAAGCAATGGATGGAAACTCATCAAGGAGAGAAGCAACCTGGAACTAAGGAGAAACGTCCTGACAGTGAGAATTAATCCAATTAATCAGTGGAACTCCTTGCCTCCAGAAGTTGTGAATGCTCCAACACTGGAAGTTTTTAAGAAGAGACTGGACAGCCATTTGTCTGAAATGATGTAGAGTTTCCTGCCTGAGCAGGGGGTTGGACTAGATGACCTCCAAGGTCCCTTCCAACTTTATTATTATTATTATTATTATTATTATTATTATTATTATTATTATTATTATTATTATTATTATTATTATTATTATTATTATTAGTTTGTTTAGCAACTGAAGTTCTGTGGTCATAGATCAAGCACTGCCTCTATTCCACATGGAGACTGGCAGCAAAATGATTACGTGGAATATTCTGATTTAAGGATCTACCCAGCCAGCTGGTTCAGTCTAATCCCTTCTAAAATTAAGATTCACAGTCATAAATTTAATTTGAATCTCACTCTCCTTTGTAGCCTTCAGAGATACACACACACAAAACAGGAGGTCCATCCAATAATTTTAAAATGTGTTCTAAAAAAATATTGGACAGCAGCTAATATATTTTTTTTAAACTGAAGCACACAGCATCATGATCAGCTGTGGTCTGACTGCGACAAGCTAGGTTTACTGCAGAAGCGCGGTAAGTCAATTCACACAAAGAATGCAAAACAATTTTGGAAGACCTGCCCATCTTAAATATCCAATGTCCAGTTGCAAAAAAATTAAAATAAATAAATAAATAAATCTGGGACTCTTACCCTGATCTGATTATATCTCAATAGTGCATTTTGCTTGATCTCTGCCACTGTAGGAAAAGCAAAGCAAAGCATAAATAGGATGTGTGGACATTACAGGTAGTTCTTGCGTAACGACGGTCATTAATTGGATAAGATAACCTTAATTGTTATTTATCTGCATGCACAATGACACACGTTAAAATAAAATTCCGACGTCCCGTTCTCGAAACAAGGAGTACCACCCACCAAACAATGTCACCATCCCAAGGACGACAATAACAATGTAATAGCGGCAGCAACACCCAAAATGCCAAGTTATACAAAAATGACACCAAAAACTAATCGGAGTCCATTTCGAATACATAGCCGAAAAACGAGTCTTGAGAGTTAACACGATTGATGCTATATGTCAGGGCTTTTCAATCTTTTCACCCATTGTGCCACTTTTAGGATATGGCAACATCCGAATACCACCAGTCACCTAGCAAGGGGTCAAAAACTTGATGGCAAAAAAAAAAAAAAAAAAAAAAAAAAGGAAAAAAGTGATAAAGTACAGGTAGTCCTTGACTTACAACAGTTCGCTTAGTGACTGTTTGAAGTTACAATGACACTGAAAAAAGTGCCCCCCAAACCACAGCCGAGCAAGACACCTGCCTGCCCGCCCGGTGGCGCTCTTCCTCCTGTCCGAGGTTTTCATTGTTGTGAGCATTTCTGTTGAGGATTGGCAGCGGGGGTGGAGTGAGGGGTGTTTGGTTTTTGTTCCCCCCGTCTGCTGGGTGGTTGCAGCAGGTTTTGGTCACTTCACATGACCCTGGGACACTGTGACCGTCATAAATATGAATCAGTTGCCAAGCATCTGAATGTAAATCACAAGACCCTGGAGAGGCTGCAACATTCCAGCTGATCGGCGCTTCTTCTGGGCTCAGCAGAAGCGCCAGGATCAGCAACGAGCTCCAGCTGGAGCCTGGCGCTGATCCTGGCACTTCTGCTGAGCCCTGACAGCCCTGCAGCTCCAGCCGTCTCTCACTCAGGCTTGTGCGGTGCTACCACTGGTTCAGTTCATTCCCCTCCCCCGCTACCACTTTTCTGGGATGGTCGCGTACCACCTACCAGGTGCCAATGTACCACAGGTGGTACCCGTACCACTGGTTGAAAAGCCCTGCTATATGGGACACACCTGTTACTAAATCTGGTTGTTCAGAGACTGGAATTTCCACCGCTAAGTAATGTGTTCACAAAGCATGATGTCTCGTGACTGCCTCTCTTAGTGACGGCAATCCCAGCAGCTCCTCTTGCGGTCGTTAAGCAAGGACGGTGGGCGGTTAAGTGAAGAGCTCCTTGCAATTTCCCGATGGCTTCCCCAAGGCAAAGTCATTGGGGAAGCCGGCAGGAAATTGCAAGTCCCAGCAGTTTGAAAGCAGACCGCAGGGCAGTGAGTGGTTGCTACTGGGCAGGAGATGGTGTGTGAGCGGGCAGAGGAGGGGGTGCCGATGGCTGGCATGGCAGAAGCGCCAAGGAGCCAGGAGAGGCTCCATGAGTGGGGAGACCTATCCATGCACGTTGCAACCTTCCCTGCTGACTTCCCCATTGGTGTTGCCTTTAGAAAAACAGCAAGGAAGGTTGCAAATGGCGATTATGCGGCCTTAGGCTGGGGGATTCTGGGAGTGGAAGTCCGCCCATCTTAAAATCCCCAAGGTTTGAGAAACACTGAACAAGGAAACTCAAAAGTGCCAGATGCTCTTACGTGATCCGCTCACATCCTGGGGGTTGACGGAAGCTTTGGCCGGCTCAAAGGCTCCCGTCCGGAGGACATAATCTGTGCTGAGCGCCATGGTGTTGACCCAGTGGGCGTGGCCCTGCAAGGTGCGGCACAGGATGCCCTGAGGAGGACCAAAAAGCAAGGCCTCAGTCCCTTTCCTTCCTTCATTCTGTGGAGAGGCCCCCTTCATCTGAAAAGAGGCTAAGCCCTCCAAATGTGGTTGCCATCTGGACCTCCCAGGGGAGGAGACAGGAAGCACCACTTGGCCTAGTGGTTAAGACACCAGACGAGAAAGCAGGAGACGGTAAGTTCTAGTTCTGCTTTCGACATGAGAGCCGGCTGGGTGACTTTGGGCCCATCACCAAGCGACGGTGAGTTCTAGTTCTGCTTTAGACATGAAATCCAGCTGGGTGACTATTGGTCAATTACCAGGAGACAGTGAGTTCTAGTTCTCATTCAGAGATTAAATCCAGCTGGGTGACTTTGGGCCAATCACCAGGAGACGGTGAGTTCAAGTTCTGCCTTAGGCATGAAAGCCAGCTATGTAACTTTGGGCTAAAAAACAGGAGACAGGGAATTATAGTGCTCCCTTAGGCATGAAAGCCAGCTGCGTGACTATTGGCCCATCACCAGGAGACGGTGAGTTCTAGTTCTCCTTTAGACATGAAAGCCAGCTGGGTGACTGTTGGCCCATCACCAGGAGACGGTGAGTTCTAGTTCTGCTTTAGACATGAAAGCCAGCTGGGTGACTTTGGGCCCATCACCAGGAGACAGTGAGTTCTAGTTCTGATTTAGAGATGAAATCCAGCTGGGTGACTTCGGGCCAATCACCAGGAGACGGTGAGTTCAAGTTCTGCCTTACGCATGAAAGCCAGCTATGTGACTTTGGGCCAAAAACCAGGAGACGGTGAGTTCTAGTCCTCCCTTAGGTATGAAAGCCAGCAGGTGACTTTGGGCCTGTCAGCCCCACCCACCTCACAGGGTTGTTGTTATAGAGAGCAAGGTGTGTTGGACAAGTTCACTGCCTTGAGTTATTTGACAATATAATAAAAGTGGGATGCAAACCAATATATAAAATAGTAATAAATAAATTGCCTTGCCCTGCTGGCCAACCCAAACAGTGATGGGGACAACATGCAGACTTGGAAAAAAGGGAAGAGGTGCTAACCTATTTTTTAATTTCATTTATTCCATCTGTGGGCTGCCCAATTCCCCACAACTGCGTGACTTACATCTTGGGCTCTCCAGACTTTGATGGTGCGGTCTTGTGAAGAGGAATACAGCAAGCCGTCCCCTCCCCACCGGAGGCAGGTGACCGACTGAGTGTGGCTGGTGAGGATCTTGTCGCAGCGGCCGGCTACCGTGTCCCAGATTCGAACGCTGCCATCTTTGGAAGAGCTGGCTAAATAGCGACACTCGGGGTTCCTGAAGGCAGAGTTAAAAAAAGAGAGAGAGAAAGAGAAAGAGAGAAAGTTAGATAGATAGATAGATAGATAGATAGATAGATAGATAGATAGATAGATAGATAGATAGATAGATACAGATATAGAGATAGACATGGGTGGGTGGATGGATGGATGGATGGATGGACGGATAAGAGATAGATGATAGATGGACAGACAGGGGATAGGATAGAATAGAGAGAGAGATGATAGATAGATAGATAGATAGATAGATAGATAGATAGATAGATAGATAGATATGGATGGATGGATAAGAGATAGATGATGGACACAGGGTATAGTATAGTATAGTATAGTATAGTATAGTATAGCATAGCATAGCATAGCATAGCATAGCATAGCATAGCATAGCATAGCATAGCATAGCATAGCATAGTATAGATAGATATGGATGGACGGACAGATAAGAGATAGATGATGGACAGACAGACGGGATAGAATAGAATAGAGAGAGATGAAAGAGAGAGAGAGAGAGACACATGGGTGGGTGGATGGATGGACGGATAAGAGATAGATGATAGATGGACAGACAGACGGGATAGGATAGAAGAGAGAGAGAGAGAGGGAGAGAGAGAGACAGATGATAGAGAGATAAGATGGACATAGAGATGATAGACAGATGGATAAACAGACATGATAGATAGATAGATAGATAGATATAGAAATGATAGGTAGATATAGATAGATGATATATGGATACATGATAGACAGACAGGTAGATGGAGAGAAGCTATAAAATTTGCCCTAAAAATAATCAAAACCAGGCAAATGTTCAATAATGCAACCTTCTCTGTTGCTGAAGGAGAAAAGAGAAATGGCGGTGGCCTCCATCTTGAATTTTTTTGAGGCGTTTACGGTGCTGAATACAGGAGTCCTCACGACTGCAATTGAGCCCAAAATTTCTATCATTAAGTAAGATATTTGTTAAATAAGTTTCATCCCATTTTACAACCTGGCTTGCTGCCATTGTTAAATGAATCTCCGCAGTAGATTAAGTTAGTAACCCAGCTGTTAAATTAATCTGGCTTCCGGATTGACTTTGCTTGTCAAAAGGTCGTCAATGGGGAATCATGTGACCCTGGTCATAAGTATGAATCAGCTGCCAAACGGCTGAATTTTGATCATGTGATCATGGAGACGCTACAAAGGTTGTGACAGTAAAAAAGTGCCGCTGTAACTTTGAACGGTCACTAAACGAACTGCTGTAAGTTGAGGATTCCCTGTACAGGCTTGGGTTTTTTTTTTTCCTGCACCTTAGGTGGAAATGCAGTTGAAAACTACAGGAATTATAGGAAAGAAATAATTACAGGTAATCCTCGACTTACGACCACAATAGAGCCCAAAATCTATGTCACTAAGTGAGACATTTGTTAAAGGGAGTTTTGCCCCATTTTACGACTTTTCTTGCCACGTTTGCTAAGCGAATCGCTGCCGTTGTTAAATGAGTAACGCTGTTGTTAAGTGAATCCAGCTTCCCTCCTTGACTTTGTTAGAAGGTCGCAAAAAGGGGACCACGTAACCCCGGGATGGCGCGACTGTCGTAAATTTCCTGCCTGAGCAGGGGGTTGGACTAGATGACCTCCAAGATCCCTTCCAACTTTATTATTATTATTATTATTATTAAATATGAACCCGTGGTCAAGCATCCGAATGTAAATCAGGTGACTGTTGGGGATGCTGCAACCGTCCTAAGTGTGAAAAAGGGTCCTAAGTCCCTTTTTTTCGGCGCCGTTGTAACTTCGAACAGTTACTAAACAAACTGCTGTTAAGTCGAGGACTGCCTGTACACAACTGCGATTTAAAGGCAAGGTGGGGATTTAAGCTAAACCTGTGTTTTAAGCCACGATGGCCATTTAAGCCACAATTAGAATTCAAGCCATACACTGACTGAATGTGAAGATCGAATGCAAAAGTAATTAAGATATGGATAAGCTAAAAACCTATTGATAAATGCAATAAGGATGTTTTTATTTAGTTGATATAATAAGAACTTAAATATGAGATAGTAGATATTAAGGGGAAAAGAGAGGAAATATTGGAGGTTATTGTTTGAGATTTGTGTTAAAAAATTTTGTATGTTATTGAACTATTGATTAACCCAGCCACCACGTTGCTTTTTAAATATCTAAAGGTAAAATTAGAAAATTAATAAAAGTTTTATTAAAAAAAAAAAAAAAATTTAAGCCACGACTGCAATTTAAGCCACGATTAAATTTTAAGCCACGATGGTTAATTTAAGCTCCCCTAGTTTAGAAGTGCAGAGCCAGGGAAGAGGGTGGGGGGGGGGGCATGGGAGGACTTACAAATGCAGAGGTTCCCAGCAGAGCGACGTGACCCACTTGGAGTGTCCCACCAGGATGCGGCCAATTTGCGCCCCGGTGCTTGGATCCCAGAGCATTATCTGCGCAGAAGGTACATGGGACACGTTAAGAAACACTTTCTCAAAATGGTGTGTGTGTGTTTTGTATCTTCCCCTGATTATTTTTATAAATGACTCCAGGCGGTCTGGACATGCTTAATAGACCTTCCTCCTCCTACACTCCCTACAACAGCAACCCTGTGAGGTGGATTGGGCCAAAAGAGAGGGACTTTGGCTTGCCTGCCAAAAGCGGGACTAGAACTCCCGGTTTCCTGGCGACTGGCCCAATGTCACCCAGATGCCTTTCATGCTGAAGGCAGGAGTAGAACTCCCCATCTCCTGGTGATTGGCTCAAGGTCACCCAGCTGGCTTTCATGGCTAGGGCGGGACTAGAACTCTCTTGTCTCCTGGTGATTGGCTCAAAATCACCCAGCTGGCTTGCACGCCTAAGGCGGGACTAGAACTCCCAGTCTTATGGTGATTGGCCCAAAGTCCTCCAGCTAACATTCATGCCTTACGCGGGACTAGAACTCCCAGTTTCCTGGTGATTGGCCCAAAGTCATCCAGCTAACATTCACGCCTTACGGGGGACTAGAACTCCCAGTCTCCTGGTGACTGGCCCAAAGTCCTCCAGCTAACATTCACGCCTCACGGGGGACTAGAACTCCCAGTCTCCTGGTGACTGGCCCAAAGTCCTCCAGCTAACATTCACGCCTTACGGGGGACTAGAACTCCCAGTCTCCTGGTGACTGGCCCAAAGTCCTCCAGCTAACATTNAAAAAAGGAAAAAAGCGATAAAGTACAGGTAGTCCTTGACTTACAACAGTTCGCTTAGTGACTGTTTGAAGTTACAATGACACTGAAAAAAGTGCCCCCCAAACCACAGCCGAGCAAGACACCTGCCTGCCCGCCCGGTGGCACTCTTCCTCCTGTCCGAGGTTTTCATTGTTGTGAGCATTTCTGTTGAGGATTGGCAGCGGGGGTGGAGTGAGGGGTGTTTGGTTTTTATTCCCCCCGTCTGCTGGGTGGTTGCAGCAGGTTTTGGTCACTTCACATGACCCTGGGACACTGTGACCGTCATAAATATGAATCACTTGCCAAGCATCTGAATGTAAGTCACAAGACCCTGGAGAGGCTGCAACATTCCAGCTGATTGGTGCTTCTTCTGGGCTCAGCAGAAGCACCAGGATCAGCGCCGAGCTCCAGCCGGAGCCTGGCGCTGATCCTGGCGCTTCCGCTGAGCCCTGACAGCCCTGCAGCTCCAGCCGTCTCTCGCTCAGGCTTGTGCGGTGCTGCCACCGGTTCAGCTCATTCCCCTCCCCCGCTACCACTTTTCTGGGATGGTCGCGTACCACCTACCAGGTGCCAATGTACCACAGGTGGTACCCGTACCACTGGTTGAAAAGCCCTGCTATATGGGACACACCTGTTACTAAATCTGGTTGTTCAGAGACTGGAATTTCCACCGCTAAGTAATGTGTTCACAAAGCATGATGTCTCGTCACTGCCTCTCTTAGTGACGGCAATCCCAGCAGCCCCTGTTGCGGTCGTTAAGCAAGGACGGTGGGCGGTTAAGCGAAGAGCTCCTTGCAATTTCCCGATGGCTTCCCCAATGCAAAGTCATTGGGGAAGCCGGCAGGAAATGGCAAGTCCCAGCAGTTTGAAAGCAGATCTCAGGGCAGTGAGTGGTTGCTACTGGGCAGAGGAGGGTGTGTCGATGGCTGGCGTGGCAGAAGCGCCAAGGAGCCGGGAGAGGGTCCATGAGTGGGGAGACCTATCCATGCACCTTGCAACCTTCCCTGCTGACTTCCCCATTGGTGTTGCCTTTGGAAAAACAGCAGGGAAGGTTGCAAATGGCGATTATGCGGCCTTAGGCTGGGGGATTCTGGGAGTGGAAGTCCACCCATCTTAAAGCATGGCTGGCTGGGGCGTGTCTGGGAGTTGAAGTCCGCCCATCTTAAAATCCCCAAGGTTTGAGAAACACTGAACAAGGAAACTCAAAAGTGCCAGATGTTCTTACGTGATCCGCTCACATCCTGGGGGTTGACGGAAGCTTTGGCCGGCTCAAAGGCTCCCGTCCGGAGGACATAATCCGTGCTGAGCGCCATGGTGTTGACCCAGTGGGCGTGGCCCTGCAAGGTGCGGCACAGGATGCCCTGAGAAGGACAAAAAAGCAAGGCCTCAATCCCTTTCCTTCCTTCATTCTGTAGAGAGACCCCCTTCATCTGAACAGAGGCTAAGCCCGCTTGACCCATCCCTCCGAATGTGGTTGTTATCTGGACCTCCCAGGGGAGGAGACAGGAAGCACCACCTGGGCTAGAGGTTAAGGCACCAGACGTTCTGCTTTCAACATGAAAGCCAGCTGGGTGACTTTGGGCCCATCACCAGGAGACAGTGAATTCTAGTTCTGCTTTCGACATGAAAGCCAGCTGGGTGACTATTGGTCAATTACCAGGAGACGGTGAGTTCTAGTTCTGCCTTAGACATGAAAGCCAGTTGGGTGACTGTTGGTCAATTACTAGGAGACGGTGAGTTCTAGTTCTGATTTAGAGATGAAATCCAGCTGGGTGACTTTGGGCCAATCACCAGGAGACGGTGAGTTCAAGTTCTGCCTTAGGCATGAAAGCCAGCTATGTAACTTTGGGCTAAAAACCAGGAGATGGGGAATTATAGTGCTCCCTTAGGCATGAAATCCAGCTGGGTGACTATTGGCCAATCACCAGGAGATGGTGAGTTCTAGTTCTGCGTTAGACATGAAAGCCAGCTGGGTGACTTTGGGCCATCACCAGGAGACGGTGAGTTCTAGTTCTGATTTAGAGATGAAATCCAGCTGGGTGACTATTGGTCAATTACCAGGAGATGGTGAGTTCAAGTTCTCCCTTAGTCATGAAAGCCAGCAGGTGACTTTGGGCCTGTCACTCTCTCTCAGCCCCACCTACCTCACAGGGTTGTTGTTATAGGGAGGAAGGTGTGTTGGACATAATAATTTGAGTTATGTGACAATATAATAAAAGTGGGATGCAAACCAATATATAAAATAGTAATAAATGAATTGCCTTGCCTTGCTGGCCAACCCAAACAACGATGGGGACAACATGCAGACTTGGAAAAAAGGGAAGAGGTGCTAACCTATTTTTTAATTTCATTTATTCAATCTGTAGGTAGGCTGACCGATTCCCCACAACTGAGTGACTTACATCTTGGGCTCTCCAGACTTTGATGGTGCGGTCTTGTGAAGAGGAATACAGCAAGCCGTCCCCTCCCCACCGGAGGCAGGTGACCGACTGTGTGTGGCTGGTGAGGATCTTGTCGCAGCGGCCGGCTACCGTGTCCCAGATTCGAACGCTGCCATCTTTGGAAGAGCTGGCTAAATAGCAACACTCGGGGTTCCTGAAGGCAGAGTTAAAAAAAGAAAGAGAAAGAGAGAAAGTTAGATAGATAGAATCTATAGATAGATAGATAGAATCTATAGATAGATAGATAGATAGATAGATAGATAGATAGATAGATAGATAGATAGATAGATAGATAGATAGATAGACAGACAGATAGATAGATATAGACATGGGTGGGTGGATGGATGGATGGACGGATAAGAGATAGATAATAGATGGACAGACAGGATAGGATAGGATAGGAGAGAGAGAGACAGAGACAGACAGATGATGGACAGATAGATGGATAAACAGACATGATAGATAGATAGATAGACAGACAGACAGACAGACAGACAGACAGACAGACAGACAGACAGACAGACAGACAGACATGGGTGGGTGGGTGGATGGATGGACGGATAAGAGATAGATGATAGATGGACAGACGGGATAGGATAGGATAGAGAGAGATGATAGATAGATGATAGATAGATAGATAGATAGATAGATAGATAGATAGATAGATAGATAGATAGACGGATAAGAGATAGATGATAGATGGACAGACGGGATAGGATAGAAGAGAGAGAGAGAGAGAGAGAGAGAGAGAGAGAGAGAGAGATATGATAGACAGATAGATGGACATAGAGACAGATGGATAAACAGACATGATAGATAGATAGATAGATAGATAGATAGATAGATAGACAGATAGATAGATAGATATAAAAATGATAGGTAGATATAGATAGATGGATACATGATAGACAGACAGGTAGATGGAGAGAAGCTATAAAATTTGCCCTAAAAATAATCAAAACCAGGCAAATGTTCAATAATGCAACCTTCTCTTGTTGCTGAAGGAGAAAAGAGAAATGGCGGCGGCCTCCATCTTGAATTTCTTTGAGGCGTTTAGGGTGCTGAATACAGGAGTCCCCACGACCACAATTGAGCCCAAAACTTCTGTCATTAGTAAGATATTTGTTAAATAAGTTTCATCCCATTTTACAACCTGGCTTGCCGCCATTGTTAAACGAATCTCTGCAGTAGATTAAGTTAGTAACCCAGCTGTTAAATGAATCTGGCTTCCGGATTGACTTTGCTTGTCAAAAGGTCGCCAATGGGGAATCATGTGACCCTGGTCATAAGTATGAATCAGTTGCCAAACGGCTGAATTTTGATCACGTGATCATGGAGACGCTACAAAGGTTGTTGACGGTAAAAAAGTGCCGCTGTAACTTTGAACGGTCACTAAACAAACTGCTGTAAGTTGAGGACTCCCTGTACAGGCTTGGGTTTTTTTTTTTCCTGCACCTTAGGTGGAAGTGCAGTTGAAAACTACAGGAATTATAGGAAAGAAATAATTACAGGTAATCCTCGACTTACGACCACAATAGAGCCCAAAATCTATGTCACTAAGTGAGACATTTGTTAAAGGGAGTTTTGCCCCATTTTACGACTTTTCTTGCCACGTTTGCTAAGCGAATCGCTGCCGTTGTTAAATGAGTAACGCTGTTGTTAAGTGAATCCAGCTTCCCTCCTTGACTTTGTTAGAAGGTCGCAAAAAGGGGACCACGTAACCCCGGGATGGCGCGACTGTCGTAAATTTCCTGCCTGAGCAGGGGGTTGGACTAGATGACCTCCAAGGTCCCTTCCAACTTTATTATTATTATTATTATTATTATTATTATTATTAAATATGAACCCGTGGTCAAGCATCCGAATGTAAATCAGGTAACTGTTGGGGATGCGGCAATCGTCCTAAGTATGAAAAAGGGTCCAAGTCCCTTTTTTTCGGCGCCGTTGTAACTTCGAACCGTTACTAAACGAACTGCTGTTAAGTCAAGGACTGCCTGTACACAACTGCGATTTAAAGGCAAGGTGGGGATTTAAGCTAAACCTGTGTTTTAAGCCACGATGGCCATTTAAGCCACGATTAGAATTCAAGCCATACACTGATTGAATGTAAAGATCGAATGTAAAAGTAATTAAGATATGTATAAGCTAAAAACGTATTGATATATAATAATGATGTTTTTATTTAGTTGATATAATAAGAACTTAAATATGAGATAGTACATATTAAGGGGGAAAGAGAGGAAATATTGGAGGATGTAGTTTGAGATTTGTGTTAAAAATTTTTGTATGTTATTGAACTATTGATTAACCCAGCCACCACGTTGCTTTTTAAATATCTAAATGTAAAATTAGAAAATTAATAAAAGTTTTATTAAAAAAAAAAAAAGAATTTAAGCCACGACTGCAATTTAAGCCATGATTAAATTTTAAGCCACGATTGTTAATTTAAGCTCCCCTAGTTTAGAAGTGCAGAGCCAGGAAAGAGGGTAGGGGGGGCGGGGGAGGACTTACAAATGCAGAGGTTCCCAGCAGAGCGACGTGACCCACTTGGAGTGTCCCACCAGGATGCGGCCAATTTGCGCCCCGGTGCTTGGATCCCAGAGCATTATCTGCGCAGAAGGTACATGGGACACGTTAAGAAACACTTTCTCAAAATTGTGTGTGTGTGTTTTGTATCTTCCCTTATTTTTATAAATGACTCAAGGCGGTGGACATGCTTAATAGACCTTCCTCCTCCTACACTCCCTACAACAGCTACCCTGTGAGGTGGATTGGGCCAAAAGAGAGGGACTTTGGCTTGCCTGGCAAAAGCGGGACTAGAACTCCCGGTTTCCTGGCGACTGGCCCAACGTCACCCAGATGCCTTCCATGCTGAAGGCAGGAGTAGAACTCCCCGTCTCCTGGTGATTGGCTCAAGGTCACCCAGCTGGCTTTCATGGCTAGGGCGGGACTAGAACTCTCTTGTCTCCTGGTGATTGGCTCAAAATCACCCAGCTGGCTTGCACGCCTAAGGCGGGACTAGAACTCCCAGTCTTCTGGTGATTGGCCCAAAGTCCTCCAGCTAACATTCACGCCTTACGCGGGACTAGAACTCCCAGTTTCCTGGTGATTGGCCCAAAGTCATCCAGCTAACATTCACGCCTTACGGGGGACTAGAACTCCCAGTCTCCTGGTGACTGGCCCAAAGTCCTCCAGCTAACATTCACGCCTCACGGGGGACTAGAACTCCCAGTCTCCTGGTGACTGGCCCAAAGTCCTCCAGCTAACATTCACGCCTCACGGGGGACTAGAACTCCCAGTCTCCTGGTGACTGGCCCAAAGTCCTCCAGCTAACATTCACG